GGAGCATCCACACACCAACATGATCAGTTTGTCCTTTTTAGATACCACTGAACAACCGTCCGTTTTCATACGTCACCCGGCAACCTTTGTGCTGATTAGTTATTGCAACGCAAATATCCGCTCAAGTTGAGACGTTTTCAGCTCCTGGCATCATTTCACATCATTTGTGCCGCTAGCATCTAACTGCGTCTGTGAATTGACTTGTGTGTTATTTATTTGCGCGAATGATTTGAGTTGCGCTTTGTGTGTGAAGACAGTCAGACAAAAAAAAGAAAAGAAAAACAGCAACAGTCAAACCTTGAAATAGTCAAAGTGCTCCTGTGCATCACCTATCAGCTGCTGCTTACGTTTAGTTTTCCATTAAATTAATAAAAATGCCTCCATAAAAATAGCTACAAATAGTGAAATCTTTTACATCCAAGATTTGAAGCCCAGATTCTGAGACTAGTTTATCTCTCTTTATCAATCCTATGAAGTCTCGTTTTTATGTTATTGCTGTTTTGTGCTCTAGTTCCCCCTGCAGATACACACTGTTCCAGTGAATTAAAGTGGGCTGTAACGTTGCCTGCACAGTTTCACATGTACACTTAAATTGGTTCTGACTGTGATTGAGTTTATTTCCACACAGAGATCAGCAAGTTCACAGCTAACACCACACTCTGCTCAGAAAACAGATGTATTGAAAACACTCAATGACACAGGCAGGCATGTGTGTGTGTGTGCGTGCTTCTTTATGTTGCCTCATACAGAAGCCCCACACAGTGTCAACTGATATTTTTTATGACCTCAATAAAAGCCTCCCGAAGCTGATTATAACTGCAAACAGCACACACTAAAAGAAACTGAGTGAGGAGGAGGGAAACAGAGACTTACAATGTCCCTGGGCAGAGAAATGCAATTTGTCGGGTAGTGGGAAGGTACTGTATGTATGTAGTGAACAGTGTGTGTTTGAGTGTGTGTTATGTATTCATCGCACGACTGCACAGCAGCGCTTTGGACCTAATCGCAACTTACTGTGGGTCAGCATTCCAGCAATCAGACGGCTCCCTGCACAGCAGATTCAAGCCATGGACTTACTGAGGATCAAAACCAATTATGTCTGATCACCGACACAAATGGAGGGAGAGAGACAGGGAGAAAGAGAAAGAGCGAGAGAGACAGGGAGAGAGCTAAAGAAGGGAGAAATAAGCATGTGTAACATTACACTGTGCCATTAACCAGTGATTAAGCATTAAATCAAAGACTGGTCCTGACTGTGACCTCCAGTCAGTTTTTATCTTTAGAAAAAGCAGCAAAAAAAATAAAAAATCTGAGTTAGTTTTAGCAGTGATGCTCTTTGCTTTATCAAACAGGGAAATCAGCGCTATAAAATAGTGTAAAATAGGATTTAAGGCCTCTCCAAACCCAAATCTGCAACGGACTGAGAAAATTAACACATAAAGAAATGATATTTATTCCCATTTGAAACACGATTCCCGCTCCTAATTTGTGAATTTGATTGGTTATAGTTATGCCTAGAAATTCAATAACATTAATGACAGAGTAATATATGCGAACAAATCATAAGAAGATGCGCAGATAAGCTTTTTGGTTTCTTACTTACAGCCATGAGCATCATCCTCAGGTTATAACTGAGGGCTGTGGTCGACCTTTCTCAGTTGCTGATGTTTGGTTTATTCGTAGCCACCTTTGTATCAAACACATTACTACAACTATTCTAGACCAATGAACTGACACTGAAATAAAATAAAATCTAATTCAAATGGAATTGAACATAATTAGGTATAAATTTTAATTTAATGGTACAAAGTTAGGGTGACCATCGTCCTCTTTTTGTCATGATAATGTTCTGGTATTTAGTTTCCCCCTGGTTTTGGTCTCTCGAGTGTATTTTTTTTGTGATTTTTCCTAGTGTTTCTGTGCCCCTGTAGTCCTGTCTTGTAAGTTTTGATTTTTTGTCTGACCCCAGTTCCCTCTTGTTCTCAGTGTTTTATTCTGTATATCAGTTTTCAGTGTTTCCTGTTTTATTTTAAGGTAGTGTATTCCCTGTGTGTTTCTAGTCTTGTTTTACTTGCTCAGTTTTCCCTCCTCTGTGATTGTCTGCACCTGTGTCTCAGTGTCTCACCTGCCTCTCGTTGCTCGTTTCCCTGTGTGTGTTTATATAGTCCTTGTCTTCCGCTCTTTCTTTGTTGGTTCATTGTGAATGTGTGTGGTGTGTTGTAAATCTCCAGTGGTGTGTTTTTTTTTCTCCTCAGTGCATTTTTTGGATTTTGAGTTGGACCTTTATTAGTAAGCTTTTGTTGCTTTTCTTTTATTTTTATTTTTTATTAATCATTTTTGTTGTCTTGAATTTGGGTCCTTCCCTTTTTGTTTAACTTCTAAAATGTGACACTTTTACCCGTACATGTTCTCTTTTTGGGGGCTGTCCGGGGGAGTTTATAAAACCCTTCAAATGTCTGGGGTTTTTATGGAAGTTTTGAGTTTGTCCAGCATTGACTAACTGAGTTAGAAGCGCATAAAAAAACACTCGACCCAACCCGAAAAACCCTCAAAATTTTGCGTGCGAATCCGCCCCGCATAGTAGTGTCCTTTTTTTCAGGGTTTTTGGGCATTTTTGCCTTCATTAGATAAGACACTAGTTTTAACTGAATAACTTTGAAAACAATACACAATCAAAAATATTGACAATTTTTGGCATTATCTGGTTGTATTTCCCTGTAAAGAAAAGCTAATTTCAAAGCAAAACAGACCTTGTATTACAATTCATTTAATTATTAAAAATTATGAAAAATTAGTTGTAGTTTTTTTATTTTAGTAAATCTACTTATGGAGTCAGGGAAAGCAGCTCAGCTAATTTCACCTCTGCTTGTTGACACTGTGGCAAAAACATTAAACGTTAGTCTCTGGCTGGTTTTGGAAGTGGGGGAATTATGACAGCAGGCACAGTTAGAGCAGTAGCAGTTGGAGCGATACGACCCAAACCATCTCTGACAGGGAAAAGTGGAACATCCCGTCCTGTCACAATAGCGACAATGTTCAAAATCACTTCCCTCATATATGTTTAAAGACTGGTGTGTAAACTGCAAAGCTCAGAGAAGGAGAAGACAGAAAATACTCAAATTTTTCTTACATACAGTCAGTGGAAATGTTAAATTTGATGTTATTGCTTAAATTGGCAGTTTGATGTTTTAACTAGACCCTGCTGTTTTGTACTGACATGCTGCTCACCTTGTTGGAATTGACTTTGCACAACCATTACCCCTTGCTCCACATTAAAAAAAATGTTTACTTGGTGCATTGAAAGTCTTTTTTGTTCAAAAACATCTAAATTGCCTTTTATGCAGAGGGGAAATGGTAATGTATTATGCTGGCTGCTCTTAAATCAAGTCCTCCAGTTCTTTTTTGGGTTAGATCGACCTAGTTTTTCATGGAATTTACACTCACTGAATGGTACATTACATTAGCAGAACTGGGCAAAAAGATACTCCTCTCTGGGGTTGGTGAACACTGAACCAGAGTTAAAAAGAGAATAAATGAGACTTACCATCATTGGTTGCCAGAAATACACCCTAAATTGAGGACACTTTTCTGAATGTCGACTGGGTTTGCAAACAGGTTCATGCGCAAACATGATCATTAAAACTCTAAAAACACACGAGTTAGTGTTTGGTTACACTTTGTTCCACAGTCCCTAAAGTATCACAAACTTCCTGTTTGTGGCACAAGAAATAATCGAATTTGATATACAACAATGGAATCAATCCGTGAATGAAAGACACTTCAGAGTCTGAAGGTTGGGTTTGGTCCTCAGGCAGTGTGTCCCTGCTCTGCTGAGTTCACGTCGTGCTCTTGTTTTTCATGTATCAGCAGTTGACATGAGATTCACAGGAATTTGTTTTGGAGCTGGAGGAGTAACAGAGTGGAGTAATGAGTGTTTTTACACACAGACCCGAAGCCTTATCAGCGGGCTGCGTGTGTTTTCGCAGTTAAGAGGGAGACATTTTGTTCTCTGGGGTCATATTGGGAGAAACAACACGTCACTGCCTGCGTACACAAACAACTTAGACACAGAGTGTTTTTACTAATACTAATACGGCTGATAGATAACTGTAAAACCATGATAGAGTCTTTAATATTTTTACAACATGAGATATGTCTCCTTCCTGATTTTAAATGAGTCTGTATTTTAATGTGATTTCAGGCGAGCTGAGTTTTCCACTGGCCAAGGAATGCATGTGATGAGTCAAACCAGCTCCCCATCCAGCGGCCTCATCTGTGCCACCAAATGAAGGGATTATCTCAGTCGGAGGTACGTATGCAGCTCCAGGAGGGGATAAAGAACGGCTCCAGTTGGCCTCTTACTTCCTTCAACAAGGCCTCACATTTACCATTCCAGCCCTATCTCTGCTGATAAAAATATGGGCGTCACGAGCGGCCTTGCATTCTCAAAATTCACAATCATATTTAAGAATTCAACAGTTGATAATAGAGATGTCCCAGTCCTGATCGTATTAGGGAGTGGAGCCAATCTTGACATTTTTCATTGATCAGTGACTGGCACAGAGCACAATCTGTGCAGAACACAAGTGCACAAGTTTAATTGGTGTGTCAGACACCGCAGAGCTGTGCAGCAAAATGTGAAGTAATCCAGATCAGTTAAAGGGATATTCCGGCGTAAAATTAGATTAGGGTCAAACACACTGTAACACCGAGTTAGACACCCAGCAGGGTGACGCAGCTCAAGGAAGAACATTTATGATAATTTCTTCATGGATCAGACCGAGACGCTGAGGCAGAAGAACTACTGCGTCTGCAGTGCAAAATGATTTATATGGTGATCATTACTTTAAGGAAATGATAAAGTAATGATCATAAATGTTCTTCCTTGAGCTGTGTCACCCCACTGTGGTAATGAAAAAGATGTTTGGTGGTTAGTGCTGTGGCTGGGACCCTATAAGTACTGTTGATGAAGTTAGGTGCTGTTCTGAGCATTATTTGTGGCTATAGAGTGGCGTTTTGGTTGAGCGCGGGCTCCTGGTAAAGTTTATTGTTTCATTCTTGGTCAAGCAGCCAGGCGTCACCGTGTTAATCTCACATCATCACGTTTGAGTTGCATTCATAGCAGCGTTGCTTTGGAGTGTACAGAATGACATGCGCACCGGTTTTAAAGCAGAGCATGTCATTCAGATTACAAGTTAGTTATAAAACAGAGCTAGCTGAAGTTTTGATACGGTAGGTTGATCCCATAGACCGTATATACTATGGACAACTTGGTTCCGCCTTCCATCAGTACACAGATTTTAAGCCGAAAAGCTCTCTGTATTTCTGCGATTTTTCTCCACTTCCTGAAACCAACATTGCACAGTAGCGTTGTTCGCATTCGGCAGGAGAGTCGCCGAGAGTCGCTGTGATGACGCTCGGCTCAAACAGCGTATCCCCGGGTGAGCTACGCAATCTTCGTACGCTCATAGGCTGCATCAAGTGTCAATCATAGAAAACAAGAACCCCCTAATGACTTTTAAAAACTGAGCTGCACAGAAAAAAGAGGACTTGAGCACAAACCAGTCTTATAGTGACTACATGTCAACATCGCAACTGGGGGGAGAAAACCCTAGCCCTAACCCTAACACAGATTCTATATACAGTCTATGGTTGTTTGGAAGTTTCTCTTGCAAAACCAGCAACATTTCTGCAAGATCTCACACTTTTTTTTCTGATTCGCAAAGTCTCCTTCAAGTCTGCATGGTCAGAATCTAAAAGTTAAACTTTGCTGGAGAACAAGAGGAGAGCTTGTTCAGGCCTGTCACTGAGCTGTGTTCACTCGGCTGTATTTTAACCTGACAGAAATGCTCCCTCATTCAGATGTCTCTAAACTCTCCTGCTTCAGATGTCTGTGTGCAGAGTTACTCCTCTGTGTGCTCATTTCACAGCTCTGTGCATGCAAAATTTATAAAACTAAGTAAAGGCTGTGTCCTGTCCTCTGCTGCACAACGACTTCATGCCTCTGTAATCTTCACAGGAACAGAAACTTTCTCAGTGTATGAAAAACAATATCCAGTTTTTTTGATGTTATTAGAATTGTATCTCGCCAGTACTTTAAAGCCCATTGAAATGAGCTTTTTCCTCTCTGTAATTTACCATCAGGGCCTTTTTATTGCTCTGCTCTCAGAACCTGTAAATGATTGAATAACTAAATAACATTTTCAAATAGCTTCACCAGTCTCTGTTATTTTCATTACTGTTGGTCTGAGAGGGCTCTGCTTGAATTCGGGTGGATTGAAGTCTGCACTGACATCATTAAACTGAGATTAATCAGTGGATTTGATATAAAAACCCGCAGACATATGTTCAATTAGCACCAAAATTAATACTATGACTTGGTTTTATTTATTTTGTATCCTGAAAAGAGAAAAAAAAAGTAAAAATGGAGGCCATTGCTTCAAGTCCATTTATGCACTCAGTCTAATTACACCATTGGTTAGGCTTTGAATAGTAAATAATTTGAACACAGGGTTTTATTCATCCCACTTTCACCAAATAACATAAAATTGTGAGTTTAGCCTTGATGTTTTAATTTGATATTATACTCTAGTACGAAATCCTTTCAAAAAGGTACAAATTACTTCAGCTCATCTCATAAAAGGGGCATCAATGTGAGCTTTCAGAGCACTTAACAGTTTAATCGAATGTCCTCCGTCACACCTCAGACTGCTGTTGGTCTCATGCTCCGCCGTGGAAATGAAACATTCTCCGAATTCCTGATCATCTGCTCCCATTGAGGTCACAGGCGATGCCTCGTTTACAGCATCTCTCTGCTGCAGTGTTGTAATTATTTTCCCAACCAGGCTGCTCAGAGCAGCTCAGATGAGTCAACATTACACTCATAGAGTACGTCTGCTGGTATATCTGCGATTATAACACGTCTACGCAGGGTTTAATTATGCCATGAGGTGTTTTTGGAGCAATCAACAGATTTGGGTAAGCTTTATTCATTAGGCTTTTAGCACTCCATAGAGCGGAGTTTTATGACAGAAACCCATGCTTGGTCCTGATTAGCCTGTGGAGAGCACTTATTGATTTTCCCCTTATGGCCTCGCAATCAGTGTAGAATCAGGATGAAACATCCGACTCTCCACTGACAACTCCCACATCGGTAAATTAGGACTAAAATCCTCACCACACTCCATGCACTCCTGAAATGTGCTATTTTTATGTGCTGTATGACTCATTTTTTGACCACAAAAAAGTGAGTTAATCATTAATGGAGCAGCAATAATCTGTGGCACTGTCAGAGGGAACAATCTCAATTACAAGTCTAGATCTGCATATGTCCTGGTTCCTGTTCATGGTCTGAGTACCATCGTCCAGTCAAGTGTCAGCAGGCTTTGATGTATGAAGGTAAAACTTGAGTGACCAAAAAGCTGATCACTGTCTCAAGAAAGCAAACAAAGTGACTTCCAAACATCCTGGGATGCATCTAAATTAAAAATGGTGCCTCCACTCAACAAAAACCTATTTTAAGAATTGTTTTCTTCCTCTCTTGAGGACAGACTTAATAAAGCTCGATTTTTTTTTTTTTACAAACCGGCTTCATGATGCTGTAATTTCAGCAAACTTGGATTCCATTAACTGCAAGTGCGTCACAGTCTTTTTCGGATATATATCTAATGAAACTGAGACTCAGCAGAAACAGATGGACAGACACTCCTTCAGGGAATTTAACAAACAGAAATGTCACTCTGCAGACATATCTAGAGAGGTGATACCACTTTAATGTCTGTAAGACTGTATATCACAAATTCTCAACGTCCCTTTTTATATCTACTTCGGACATGGATGTTGATCTAAAAAACAATTATTGAAGTTTCTGACTTTCATTTAATGTTTTTTTTTAACAATATTAATTTTGCCTTCATTTCAGATAGAAACAAATTAGGGTTAGAAACTGGGATCTCAGAGTGAGACGGAGGCGGACAACATAAGCAAGAGCCAACCGCCTTGGTAAATTTGAAGCGATCTGTGGAGCTTTGCAAATATGAATTTGGGATTTGTCTTGTACTGAATTTGTATATCGGGGTTCTCTCTTGCAGCAGCTTAAGGGGACAGACTGTTGGACTTAGAGCAGGCTTCAACTTTAAGATTGGGTACACTCTACCAGACAATCAGGCGGATTTAAGGCTGGATTTCCCCCCCATTCTGCTCAAATCTGATATCTTTATAATTAATCATGTTCAGTATTTATATGCTCAGAAATCCTGTTGTGTGGGGGAAACCCAGAGGACAGTCAAGAATGCACTCTGTGGAACAAAACAATAGTCCATTTGACTTAAGAAGGAAGCTCCACAAATACACAGTGGCATGAAACTCGAAATTAGATCGATGTCAGAACTGACATGGTTAGCTTAACAACCATCCTGTTATCCTCCGTGTTTGTTTAGCTTGTAGTTTTGACCAAAACAGATTTTGCAAGATTTCCAGTTCAGAGAGTGTGGACTGGAGTTGTTATGTGAGTATGTGATGTATGAGTATGTTATATATCGTTTTCGAAAACTCGAACACTTAACCCCAAATTCCACATTGTACTGACATCACACGCTGTTGGAGTGAGGCTGTTTCACTTTGTCGGAAGCACATGGACCAGTAAGGAGAGTCTATAATTCTTGTGTCAGACTTAAGTAAATCTCACACATAAACTACCGTCACACACTTGGCGCGTTTGTCAGAGATTTGAGCAGTTTACATCTACTTTCTCTGATTTGGACAAAATATGTTTACCTTGTGATTTGAAATGTTGCAAACATGTTGTATGGACGCCAGACTTTGTAACTTTGCAGTTGTTGTTGTAAGAAACCACTCTTCTCACTTTTAAGCATGACTGATGAGCTATGATAACAAAATCTGAAATTACACACTATCCAAGCCACGGCAAAAGCTTTCTGTCGAGATAAAAACATGTAGGTTCTGAGCCTGACTCGTTAAATTTTAAAATACATACTCCAAATAGGAAACATTATAAATAAAGCAATGTCACTTATGTAAGGAAGTTCCTCTTCAGCACCGCTGAGGAACATAAGAAAGGGTAAACCAAAGACAAATAACTGTTTTAACATTTTTATATGAATAAGTCATATAAAACATGAACAGAGTTTTGCACTCTGTACTTATATACTTCATTTTTTTACATAAGAAAAAACACATTGAACTGTCACAACATTAAACTCTAGAATACCTCCTATCTAAGTATTTAACTAGTCTTTTGGATCAAATAAAATCCAGGATGAGAGTGGCTGCTGTGTAAATTTTTCCATCCAGAATGTGTTCTCGTGCTGTGTTGCCATAGAAGCCTGGTTCAATGTGTAATTGCTAATGGGCTCATTAGTCAGGCAGAGAGATGTGAGAGGGAAATGTCCAATGTTGATGTTGATGCAGCTTCCTCTCATGTTCATTGCAGTCTATCAATGTGGTTAAATGCTTTTAAAGGAGCACTGGATATTTGTAAGTATATCCAAATAATATCAGAAATGTTTACAAATTACTGTACTATTTAAAAAACACATTGGTAAAAAAAATTAACTGTAAACTCACCTTTTAAGTCCTTAAATTCTGCTCTTGGATATTTGGCATTTTACGTTTGATATTTGCTCTTAGCTATGCCTTACCTACTAGGCAAACAGCAGCATCAGCATCACTCCTTCCCTTCACCTCTGAGATAAAACACACAGATCTGAGTCCTGACTTCTTAAGGACTAAGCAAACAAATATCACTGAGTGAAGAGCTGAGGATAGTGTGAGTATATAAGGTGACCAGGTCAGGATAAAAGTGATGTCCGTGAGGGATTTGAAACATAATGCCAAATTATATAAGGTTTTTACCACTGTGGTTCAGGTTCTCTTTTCTTGTTTCCAACATTGCTTCACCATTTCCTCCATGTTTTTCCTTTTTTTCTTCACCCTCTTTGCATGAGGGTATCAAGGGCTGTGAAAGCTAGCACTAACTAAGGTGTTCTAGTCCCGTGCCTAACCCTAACCCCGAATTTCCACCAAATCCGGAACGGCTTTGATCCGGAACGATGTCAATTTTCACCGTCTTCCAATTCCTACCGGATCTGTTTGTGAGGCGAATTTCGTGGCAGATTACTGACAGGAATCGCGAGAACTCACAAGAACCATTGCGATCGCACGATAACGAGTTGTCTATAAAGACAGCCACATAACCATATAAGCAGTAGGTTGTGTCCTTCCACTTCTAGACTTTTAGAATCAGCATCTCCTCAACCATGGTGTCATCGGGGTGAAATGCTGTCTAAAAACCTTTCATTCATTTGTCCGTTTGCATGGTGTAAAATACGATCCACCTGAAACACGGAGTGTTTTATTTTGAAACGACTTCCTTTCCAGCACGGGTTAATCTGTGCTGAATTTATCCAGCATTCTCCGGCGTCAGAAAAACTAGAACGCTTGCGATCAGCTGCGGAGTGCGGCGACCAACAGTGGAACGGAAAGAAGCTGGTGGAAATTGACACATTAACTTGAATGGTTATGATCAGCTACGATCGGCGGATACGGCCTTTTCGTAGCCGTTCCAGATGCAGTGGAAATTGGGGGTAACCCTAACCCTAACCATGAATGTGTTGGCTCTCCCCTCCCATGATACAAGTTGTCATATCTGCATTCAACTCCTCTTCTCTAGGCTAGGTCTGTTTTTTCCAGGACTTGTCACTGACTGCTTTTCCATTCTGTACCCCTGGGGTCTTTGATGATGCCCTCCCTGGCCATGGCTTTTCCATGTATGCACAGGAGGCTTTAGCATTGGCTAAAATCAGGGCTTTTTCTTCAGCTGCTTGACTGGCCCCTACTCCCCTGAACTGGTTTGAGGCATTAATAATTTAGATAGAAAAATCTAAAATCTCATTGCTGATGATCTTGTTTACTTTTAGATATTATGAAAAGAGATTCAAATGTTTTTAGTCTACTTTGTTCAAGTAAAAAAGACCTGAAGTGATGACTTTTTTTGTGATTTATCTTTTCAAAATATTTTATGGAGGCTGATAATATCTTAATTTTCATTGATAGCCTTTCATTTCAGTGATCACAATATTTTAACTACACCATTAGTGCTTCAAAAGTAAAGCCAATAATTTAACATTTTGTAGTCAACATGAGCTGTTAGATTGCTGGAGATGCAGAGAGCGTAATGGATTTAGAGCACACACAGTTGCTCGGCATGATTGAAAAGGGTCAGTGGTCAATGTGTTGCCATTTTAGATTTACCAGAACAAAGGGAGAGTAGATTTAGCAATGCAGCAGATGGACAGAACCAGAAGGGTAGAAAACATTCATTTAAAGGTTAGCTGTCCCGGCGTTTGATTCTCCGCCTGCATTACTTTTTTAATTGGTTTGATTTTAGCACAACCTATTTAAAGTGATTTAATTCAAGTAGACATGGAAGTTGGGAATCTTCTTTTAAAACTTGTGTACAGAGCAAAAGGGTTATTTCAATAAAGGTAAATTCAAAGTCTCAAACCACGCCACAAAACCAAGTATGTTTGGTTAGTGTACTGTTTCAAAATGAGAAAGAAATTTGCGTCATACTTTTGTTTTTCTTTTTAATGACATAACATGCAGCAAAACTTGGGGCTTATACCTTTGAGCACCTTCTAAGTCAAATGAAAGCAATGAGATGGACCTGAAGATATTATGTTTTAGATTTATTATTCAGATAAATGCTGCTCTGCTATATCAGTGTGGTCTGAAACTGGACTTTAAAAACACATGAATGTCTCACAGTCGGACAAACTGTCTCCACACACCAAGCATGAGTAAAATCATTCGCATGAATGAATTACATGTTAAGTCAATGCAAAGATGCAATTGGATGCTCCTACTACTCCAAATTGGGCATGAGGTGAAAATGTCTCAACTTGAGCTGGATATGATCCCGCCTGTTGAATTGAATTGGAAGAGATCACCATTGAAATTACCATTGACGAGCGAATGAAGCGAGTAAATACTATTAATTCAAGTGTCTAGATTCGCGTGAATTCAGCGAGTGGATGATTTTACTCGCACTTGGTGTGAGCGCCCCATTACATATCTCTATTATACAGTTGGGGATCAGTTTACTCCATACGGCTCAATCAGACTGAAACTGACCCTCAGCATTCTGCACCTTTCATGGCCTTAAACATGTGTTTTAGTTTTATTTACTTTATAGGAATCAAAATCCTACGATGAAACTAACAATGACTCGAATAGTTACCTCAAAATCAATCATGTCCATTTCCTGTATGTCACGCCTGCCTGACCCCCTTAATTGTCCATCCAGTGAAGGCAGAAAAGTGTTTACAAACTGGATGGCCAACTAGCTGAGTTGAGTTGGCCGTGACTGTCAGCGCAGCATGACACAGACTGAATCCATTCATACATCTATCTCGTAACTCCTGCCGACAGTGTTTCTCTGTAGCTCAGAAACATGAAACAGCTGGGAGCAGCTAACCCCGCTCTGACCCCATAAAACTACAGCCTGTCATTTTTGTCTCTGGATAAATGTGAAATCTAAGATAACACGTTTTGATCAACGCGATATATAGTTACCCTTGTAGGCATTCATTTTATACATTATCATCACAGCTTTACTTAAGCTACGGCTTCGTTTATACACTCAGAAAGAAAATGCCTCCAGCGTACATTAAATTATGCATTTTACATCTGCAGCCTGTTCAGAGAGGATAGTTGGGGAAGATAAAAGCAGTATTTATAGCAAGTAAACCTTCACAAGACAGAAAATTTCAGGAAAATTATTCATAGCATCACCCACGTGTTGATTGACAGGTGATCTCTGGTCACTGCGGCGCTACAACACAGCGGTAAAGAGCCTCGACACTAAAAATGAGCATAAAATTCTGACAGATTTTGGAATTACTACTTCAAATGTTGTAATAGAGACGTGTCGGATATACAGTAGGTTTGCAGGAGGGGGGCCTCTTTGGATTCAGGCCACACGTCCATCAGCTAAGTTGTGATGACTCATGCTGTTACACCATGCCTACGCATCTATCCCTCTGCTGCACACCAGCTTTATCTGCCTCTGTCTTTCCCTCTCCATCCCTCACTGCTGCTGTCACACACACACACACTCACACACATTCACACATTCATGGACAAACTCTCCTCCCCCTTTATTCTGCAAGGCAAAAAGCTAGAACACAGTATTCTTCGCCGCCACCAATCCGTGCCCTCATTTTAAACATATCTCCTGCCTAATTCTCTCAGTTACGTAACGGACAATTATACAACCAATTCAGAGCGCTCCTCTAAGACTCGCCTCACAAGGGCACTCACAGTGTGGCGGTAAGCAGAGCTGGTGATAGGAGGAAAGGAGGAAATGTGTAAGTAATTTTAATAAAGAGATGGAATACAGTTAAGACCCATCATGGACTAATGATAGGAAATGAATAAGGAGGGAGGGAAAGAGCCGGTGTGAAATTGTCAATTAGGATTTTCTTCCTGTGGTGACTAGAGGGAATTCAATAAGCCAGAGGCAAAAGCAGACCGCTGCTGTATGGAGATCACAGCGGCCTGCTTCTCCCTCTCTGTGTGAGCCAAAGCTCTACAAGCTAACGGCAAGCTGCAGATTATGAGATCAGCTTCAATAAACGCAGTGAAGTGGTCATGGAGGAGTTTTTTTTTTTAGTTTTTATTATCCAGTTAGTGTCATCCACCTCTGCGGTGTGACAGGAGATGTGTTCATTAACATCACGAGTGTGTATTTGAAGATCACACCAGAGCAAATTCTAGAGGCACGTTTTAATCATATAACTTGTAATACGTACTTATCTTGAGACATATGTAGAGTGAGGGTGGGTAATAATTTGCTCCGCCTCAGAGACGTTTACTGTAAAGACTTAGAGAAGATTAGTTAAGTGCGTAAGAGGGGAATTAAACCGTGTTGGCCTGAATTAAGGGCCACGATTATTAGACAATCACCCCTCATCAGGACTAATAATAATAATAATAATACATTAAATTTATAACGCACTTTTACAGGTGCTCAAAGACGCCTTGCAAAGAAAAATTAAAAAATAAATAAAAAAAAAACAAACAAAAAAAAAAAACAATTTAAAATATAGAAAATTTTGAGAAATAAAACCAACAATGTAAAAGGTTAAAAAAAAAACACATAATATGAGAGACAATAAAAGAAAAGTTCACAGGTTGAAAGCCAATAGTTTTTTTTTTTTTTTTGCATTCATTTTAATTTCAGTGAGACAGTTGCTGAGTGTGGAGTGGGGGGTTTTGGTGATGGCTTTGGTGGAGATGTATAATTGGATGTTGTCAGAATAACAGTGAAACTCCAGTCTGTAATGATGGCTGATTTTGCCAAGGGGGAGCATGTAGAAAATGAAGAGGAGGGGACCAAGCACCGATCCCTGGGGGACGCCTTGTGACAGAGGAGCGGTGGTGGAGGTGCAGTTGTTTACGCTGATGAACTGGTGACGGTTGGTGAGGTAGGAGTGGATCCAGGTGAGTGCTGTGCCATTAATGTGTTATATAAAAGACTTTTTGAAAACAAATGTTGTTTTTATGAAAAATTAAAATAATTAAAATGATTGACAATAATGAAATGACAAAGATGATATGACTCAAAATTAGAACTGCATCAAGAAATACACCACCGCTCCACTTAAAGTTGAATTGAGTCAGCATTTTTTATATGGCCACCATCAACAAGCTTGAAAACTCCACTGTGGAAACTCATGAGTGACGTGACTGAGGCTCTATCATTGTTTTAAAGAAAGAGCAGAATAATACAAATGTGAAACCAGAAGACATATTGACGGGTCATAATGTAGTCAAAGCATGCTCAATGTATTAATCTGAAGATAATTACGGAGAGAAAAGTTAAAAAAAAAAAAAAAGTCTCCCAAGTGTTTTTGTCTGACTCATACCCCTTCACAATAATTACTGGCATTAAAAATTAGAGCACAAAAATTTTCAGGCTTGTTGTTGAGGATTTTATTGTCTTTTTTAAAGTCCTTTAAAAGTATCAGTGTTAATTTCATTTTGTTTCATGCAGTCATTAATTTCTCATAGGGATTTAAAAGGACATTATAGTGTCTGTCTCATCTGCTGAAAACATTAGCATACCTAGTGTCTTGTTTTTATCATCAGTTTGATTGGTCCATCGTGGCTACTAAACTTACCGGTGTTGTAACTCATACAACCTCACTTAGAAATAGTGGAATATCCCTTTAAAGTATTTTTCCATATCATGAAAAACATGTTTTAAGAGTAGAACAAGTGTGGCTTTGTATTGCAGTTAGTAACGGTGCAGCAATGAAAGATCAACTATTTTTTATAATAGATGTAAAGTTAACACATCGGGATTTGACAGATGTGTTTGAAGTCACAAAAACTGACATACAAGAAAAGCACCACTTTCCATATAAATATATTTATGGCTTTTTGGTCCCTCTCTTGTAACAGAACCAGCCCAGTAACACGTTTTTCTTCTCTATTCAGAAAATTAACAGAACTCCTCCTGCACTGTTTTCATGCTGATGGCCTTGAGCCTCCTGCTGTCTCACCCACAACAGAGCCTAACATTCCTGGGAACATGTGATTTTCCCCTATGCTCCCCCGCTCCTAACTTCTCCACCCTCCCTGACCACCCAGACACGTGGCCGCAGGGTTGTTACTTCCTGGAAAAAAGCCAGACGAGAAAAAAAAAAAAACTGCAGAGAGGGCAACTTAGACAGTGCTAAATGGTCTCTGATAACACAGGTGGTATTAACACTGCACTTGATAGAGCTTAAACTTTACTGCTGCTGCCTTTATTATCACTTTCAAGCCAGTTATACCACAACTGCACTACTTTGCAAATCCTATATCACAAATTATGGATGTGGTGGACTCTTTATCAATAAATAAATGACTTTTTATTTTAATTCCAACATCTGCAGATCTTTCACAGCATCCTATCTAACTTCCCTCTCTGTTTAGCTGTAATTGAAAGAGAGTTCTTGCACTTCTATGGTAAATGGCAGGCTGTGCAATATAAAAGATGCATTGCACCTCTAAATGCAGCAATGAGCGTAACATCCTGACTTCATGTGGTGTTTATTATTTGGCCAATAATTATTTAATAGCATGTCTAATCAGCGCTAGATCATAAATCTGGTATGAGTTTTGAAAAAGTAAAACACATGCATGTAACTCATCACCTTTGGTAACATCCATTTGGGAACATTTACAGAAATCGGCACCCGACATGACTTTTTTTTCCCCTTTTTGCTTGATTACTGAGAATGTTTTCCTTGTCTGTCTTTTCAAAATGGCTTTTCCGAAGTCTTTTATAGCAACAGTAGCATTGATTACTGTGAAAGTGATTCTAGTGACAGACACTATTAGGGTGACCATATTCCGACTTCGCAAAAAGAGGACACGACTATACAGGGGTGGAATCACAGAGTCGCACAAAGTAAATTTGGAGTTTTTCGGGTCAGATCAAGATACGCGCTTCTGACTCAGTAAGTCCATGTGACACAAAATCGAAACTTGGGTACAAAACTGCGGACATTTGAAGGATTTTATAAACTTCC